ACATCACATTTACTAGACTTGGTTATAGATCTACATGTGGCAGTGGCATGAGCATAGTACTACTGTGTATTGACTCCTGTCGGTACTGAGCAAATCAGTCACACACCAGTTACCTAAGTTGTCGGCTTTGCAATGGGTGGACAGGTTCAATACACTGTATGTACATGTATATTGATTGGTAGGTGCATGTCTATAAATTCTGGTACCCAGAAACCAATGCTAGCATATTTCACACTGTTCTCTAATCTCTATACCACATTGTCATGTGGACATTCACCCTGTTCTGTTATGAATACACACGTCAGTCGAGTGTTCAAGATTCGTGGCCATTGGTGTTCCATCTATGTACATGTACCAAGAAAAAGCTGTCATTGTCCTTCTTGATTATCTAGACTTTGATCTATCTCCAGGCACAGCAGTGTGATGTGTGGTATGCAAGAGTGCTTGTGTGTAATGTGCACAGGATGTTGCACTGTCACCTGCAGGCAGTGCAGTGCAGAATATCTTCACCACGGCACAAATGAATAACAATACATGTCATCAGAATACACTGTACATGTATCATATTTGAAGGTGTTGAACTGGCAGTGAAATTTTGTCTAAAGCACAGAAACTAGGCACAGCGCTAAACTTGGCCTTGTTTCTATAACTGCTCCTGTATGCCATCCTGTCAATGTTATTCTGTTGCGTGGTGTGCTGTTGCCTGTAATTACAGCTTCCGGTAATTATTATGACATTTGGTAGATTTACCACATCCATTTCTTCATGCACAATATTTCGCTCCCAGCACCACTTAGGTGCATTCATTTCTTCCCTTATTATTCTTTTATTCCACGATGGCGTGACGCCAATAAGGATGATTGTTAAGTGAGTTAGAACTGGTACTAGCCAGAAACAACTAGATGGAAATTAACCGGGGAGGCAAGAAGCAATGGATCATGAAAAACAAGCGGGGGGCAATAACGTTAGCGGGGGTGATCGAGATACCGTACTGGCAATATATGTTGCCGCGTAACGCGTAACGCAGGGGGTGCGGCGTAACGCGCGACCAGGCTAGTGCGACATATTTTCGTTGAGTTCGTAACGCGCGTCCGGCGGGGTGCGGCGATCTTTTCATTGCAGTTTGCACTGCAAAAAAAAGGCTGAAAACTGTGAAAGCACGTGTACCGCGTGGTGAAAAGTAGTTTTTGGAGGAAGCGCTCTTCCCCTATGTCACTTTCCTTTTGATGATCTTTTTGTGAACAGATCACTCTGATAGTTAAAATATACAGTCTTCTATTGATATCGTTGTCGCCCTTTGCCGTCGGGTTTGTAACAGTTGGATAGCAACTGAATTTCTGTGCCTTCAATGTGGATGAAAAGAAAAAATGATGCGGCAAAAATAAAAAAAATGATGCGGCAATAGCAAAAAAGTGATGCGGAAATAGCAAAAAAAGGACTGCGGCAATATAGAAACCTGTGTAACGGCTCCTGTGCGACTTTGCATGTAACGCCCTGCGTGCGGCAAACATGTGCCAATGTAACGCTTCATGGCCTCACTGCGGCAACATATATTGCCAGTACGGTAGTAAAAGTACACGTTCGATATATCAGAAACCAGGGGGATGCGCGGAGCAGGAACAGGTACTGCTCAAAAGAATACTGGATGCATTGTTTCGGAAAGGATTTCTACGAGGTTGGGTTGTGATGTCGATAGGGAGTGAGTTGTAGAGGGCGAGGGCACTGTTGGTGGGGGAATCTCGGTGCCTGTTTGTGTGTGCGTGTCCGATGGAGTACGTCCTTGTCTGTCGAAGGGTGTATGGTTGGTGTTGACGTTGGGGTGCAAGATGTGGTTGTTGCAGGTGTGGTGGGGACCCCCTTGTAATGGCAATACTCTTACCAGTCTTTCTTCATCGTTCTCAAGGAGACATGGATTTGATTTTGTGTCGAAATGGCAATTGTTTAGTAGTCAGTATTCGTTGGTTACAGGTATGAAGTATTTATCCTGTTACGCGGCTCAGCTACCTATAGAGCTTGCAATGCCAATAGCCGAGGCACTTGAGTCATCGTGACTGAATATACATGACCGATTGTAGATTGCTCTCGGATGCATTGCAGAGGTTGCTACGCATAGTGCGGATAAAGTAAGTTCCATCAGCTCAGGATACTGAAGTGGAAGAATGTCTGTGCAATGTTTGTCATCACCGGTGAGACCATCACACTCATGCACATGTACATGATGTCCCAATGCTTGCTCTAGGTAGACGGATATCCTGTTCATTCTATCATGTAGTGATGATATTGAGACTGAAAACTAGTTACTTTACTGTCTCTTTTCTAGTTCACTGGCACTACTGACGTAGACTCTACTTGTACTTTGCAACAGTATAGACAACCTTCAGAGCACTAGACAATCTGCTTTTGTGGATGATCTTGTGCCCATTCCAGATGCCACAGGATTGACAACATGTGGTTGGGTACCTAAATTATGAAGTGACAGCGAACACTGCCACTGTCTCTTCTTATAATAATGTCTGCACTCAGGTTTAAAACTCGCCAAAGCATAGCCTCTAGGTGAATAGCCTGTACAGTCATGTAGTGTATATGTAAGTGTATAGCATATACATGTATACATGTACGTGTTACTGTACAATGTACATGTATATCGTGTAAGTACATGTACATGTATATAGCCACTATGTTGTCTGATGATGCGCCCAGTTGGCATGAAACTCAGGGTTGCAACAAAACGAAGTTTTCCGCCATTTTGAAATGGTGTAGCCTCTAACGCTAAGTTGTATAGGGTGTAGGCGTAAAGCGTGTACAGTACGCGCAAAACGAGACATTGGCGGATAATGCTCGAAGAATTGGCGGAATCTGCTTGAAAAGCAGTGAAATTTGCAGAACCATACAAACCGTTTGGCAGGCACTTCCTTGAATTCTGCTCCATTTCTTTCTATCTACGTACATGTACATACCGCACATGCATGAAACATATGACATGTAAGAAAAAGTACCAAATTCTGCCAATTTTTCCACCCGGCCATGTCCGCCAAGGGCCACATGTACATGTACATGTATTGAACACACTGGTTGGGTGTTCCGGTGTACTAGTATGGCTGGTAGATGCCAGAGAGGCGCTCATGGTCATAGGCACATTATTGATCTAATTTCTTTTAAGAAATTAGACACAAAAATTAATAATAGCGGTTTTTTCACAACAACACTCTTGTCCATCACCTCGCATCTCAAGAACGACACTACCGGTATGTTCATTGCGAGTACATGTACATGTACAGTACTGACTGTACATAGTCGTCTGATATCTGCACACCGCAAAGTACAAGTATCCACTTGACCTCCTCGGGAAGCGGTCTGATGCAGTGGTGCCATTGCCAGTGAGAATGAGAAGGTACATGACATTGTATAATAGTAAGTTGAAAGCCATCACATTGGAGATTTGATATGGCCTATTATGGGGGACGTCTCCTGGTGGGAGGGTAGAGGCTCAAATGCGTCACAACTCCGTCTGGTACATAATGACAATGAAGAGAGTTCAGGGTTCGTGGTGTCATGACTCAGATTCACACAAGAGGGTATACTCCTAGTGATACAATTCCCATGCTTCTACTAACGTTCCAGTGTCCAGCCATCTGGATGCGTTCGTTTAGTTATAATCATGTTGATCTACATCACGGCTTGCCAAAGTCCGGAACAACAAGACCAGTGAATTATAAGTCGTTCTGTCAAACACCCACGCCTATAGTATAGATATAACCGATATCAACTGTACATAATATTATGTGATCGTGCAGTCATGACTGTGTAAAAGCAGTAACCATCGCCTCAAACCATCTTACCTTGCCATGGCTTCAAGTACAACTACAAGAACATGTAGACTAAGTCTTAGTGCGAGTGCAGTGATATGGTTGTCCAGACTACTGAGTACTGGCTACATGATACTGTGTTATATCCCGGAACAGTAAAGTCAGTATGCTTGAATGCTCAGCATTCCCTAGTTATCCCTTGCAAGTATCAACTGCAACGACTCTCTCCAATGACAATGTACAGACTGTAGCACGTTTATCCTTTCCAGAGTAGCCGGAATGCCAAGCTCCTGTGACCGGCGCTATTCCGGGCCTTTTTCGCGAAACTAGCATAACTGCACTATTCTTGCTGTGCACGTGCGAGCACTTTGTTATCTCCAAGTTATCTCCGAAGTACTATAAGTATAATGGACTGTACATGTGCAAGTCTTGCATACCATACCGCATACTAATAACATTGAAAAGAAGGAAACAACACCGGTATAGGTACATGTATTCCAAGGAGAGAGATCACCCGCGACACATCACAAGGTGCACTTTACACCGACATCGCTATTTTACCGGTACCTACTGCACCCTCGCTTGTTTGTAAACAAATGGAGGTAAATCACATTTTGATCGGCGTTAGGGTGTGTGACCTGGGTGAAAGCCGCTCACACACTCACACATTTACGCAGCTATAATGTCGCCTATCTCAGCTGGTTTAATTAAAGGCCAGCTGTGTATAAGGTGACAATCTGTTGCTCTAAAGCAGATAACACGCCCCAGAAGGAGGGACTGGTGAATGTCTCCATGAAACGTGTGTGTGGATTTGGAGTATGGCACCTCAGTTGCTGCTTATTTTATAACTATGCTGTGGAGCCTTTCTGAAAGCAAACTTTCTTGAGTGTGTGACGAGCTCCAAGCGTTAAAGATGAGACAAAATCAAGAGGTCATCGAAAGTAGCTGTACACGAGAATGGCGCAGCTGCAGTTGTCCTCGTGTCGAATGAAGCAGCGCCGGTGTTTCAGGTTTTTGATGACTACTGCAGTCCCATCTCACCAGTGGTATTGCGCTACAAGTAGATGGGCTTTTGATCAGGCTGTACAACATCCTGCAATGCTCGTTCGCAACTCCATCTGCTCACTATTCACTGTCAGTGTCAGGGTAGCGTGCTGGCAGCCTAGATGGAACTACCACAGTGCTAGTAGAATGCTTTGGCCGCTGGGCGAGTCTTCATGCAAACCGTAACGAGGACTGGGTATAAATTGAACTGGAATACTTTCACTGCAGCTAAGTCAGCTTTAGGTTTGGTCAGCGGACGACTGTGCGATAGCCAACTGGAGGAACTGCGGGACAGAGACAAGTAAGTGAAATGCATGCTGGCATGTGCACTTGTCATTTCATACTGTGGGGCTTACAATGTCATGTCAAGATTGTAACACGAGCTTGGTTCCTTTGGAAAGTGCAGCACTAGTCTTCACCTTGTTGTCTCAGCACTTTTGACCTCACGTTCTACCTTTTAAGAACTGTCTTGTCAGTCTTGTAGCAAGAGGCTAGCTCCAATGATCAGTCCCTGCCTGAGTATCCAATTCATGGTAGTTGATCCGATATCCTGCGGCATCTACTGCTCGCTATTTTATGTATAAGTTAGTCACATGTACTATAATCCTGATGCAATGAGTAATGTTCTCATATGAACATCTTCTGTTTGTTTATCAATGTGCTCCGCTGCAGGCAGGACGAGTAAAATAGAGCAAAGGAGAAGACAAGAGACGCGTGGGCTTTCACCATGGGTCTCCGCACGCACCTTTCCACGGTGCTGCTGGTGTTAGTGGCTGCCCAGTTTGGCAGAGAAGTGCATGGCAAAAGTGTTGGTGCACCGTACGGGTCATGTGACACCATGGTACCGCAGCATCGCAATGCAAGAGGCATCATCCAATCTCAGGACCCCAAAGGAGAGCATGGCTACAGGATCGAGCATGATATATGCGAAGGATACCAGGCAAACAGACAATACAAAAGTAAGTAGTTCGGAGATAATTGTACTCTATTACATTGTATTCGTATTGTCTTGTCGCGCCTAGCCGAGCTCGTAGTGTGCGAGCCCCTGCACAAAACCGGCATACACTACCTACTTGATTATCGACGTTAGCCCATTCTCATCCCAACGTTTTCCAAGTCGCATTTTCCCTTCCCTGAGTCTGGAATCGATCTTGAATCGGTCGCAGGACGTATTTATCATTATGTCAACGACCTAGAGTGCCACCGTATGGTGTAAAGGCAGCAGAAGACATTTCATGAGATTGGCCCGCAGCTGATCAGTTGATGAGACCATGTGGTCCATGGCAGGATGAGAAGGAAGGGGCTGGGCTTTGGGGGCTCAAGTGGATGGCGATTCCTTCAGCTCTTCAGCATGGCGTTGAGTGAGATTTTGCTCTCTGCTCCTGACCTCAGCGAAGCTATGCTTGGCTCGGCAGCTTTGTAGTGTGGGAATGGTATGCTAGCATATTTTAGTGAAGTGTTAGATGGTGCGACACGTGCTGTGGCCTTGAGCTCGCACTTGCACTTGGTTTGTCGTGCTAGGCAACTGGCCTGAACAGGGTGCGGCGCGAGTGTCGACACTTTGATGATGAAAATCAGACTTTGTTGTCACTGAGACACTGATACTAGTGATAGCTACTAGTGGGTCTGGGTATGCACTCAGGATGTTTCAAGAAAAGAACTCATTGTTGACGATGGCAGTCTTTGGCAGATAGCTGCTTTGTCAGTTTGTGTCTGGACCTCGGACTATGCAAAGTGAAGTGCGGTTTGCTGTAGCTTATCGACAGACAGTAGTCACGGGGCTGCCTTATAATGCATCTTTTCTGTTGCGGAGAAACAGAATGCAAATGTACATGATATTATGTGCAATCATCATGCTAGGAGTGAAGGCCTATACACTGTCATAGGCATTGCACGGTTGTGGTCTCTGTCTACGTAGTGTAGACAACAGACAATCAGGTGTGCTGCACGAGTATTTTGGCGTTCGCAGTCCTTTGATTGACACAAGACGTTCAATGCACAGTTGACGATGTACCAAGCAGTGAGCACCCTGCATCAATGAATCCCTACTTCAGCCACACAATGCTCTGCTGTCTAATGCCATGGTCGTGTAACGTTAGCATAGTGTTAGTGGTTCTAAATAATTAATTCTGAGACTTTGAGTTTGAACATGATATTGCGGTATGACAGATGGGGGAGGACAATGTGGACAAGCACGGGGGAGGTGACAGACTGTCCAGCAAAAACAGGACTAGCATGCTAAGCGCACGCGGAGCTGTCAACGACATGCAACATACATAGCAGGTTACTAGTTAATTAAACGTCATCCTGACATACACTGCAGAACCGTGGGTGTCACTTTTAAACTAAATTCTTTCGGCTATGCAGAACCCACGAGCGACTGCGAAGGTGAATAGTATCTGCCAAGTCATTGCATACGTTACAGTATCGATACTATCCGTACACATAGTCATTCTGGAATGTACTAGTATCACTAGGAACAATACTGATTCTTCTAATCATTCAGGGTTAGTGGTGTAGGCGTGTCAGCAGCGTCATGTAAGCCCTGAAGTACATGACTAGAGCATTGTTGTAGGAGACTATACAAAAAGTCATGTCGTTGGTTGACAGCATGAAAGATTATACATGTACAGCTGTTTTTTCGAAACACATGTTAGAACATCGAGAACTTTGAGAGCAGGAATAGAAAGGGCGGTGAATGATGACAATTAATTTAGATGCCTCAATGGCAACGAGTGGGATTCAATTATCCAGACAATCAATCACAGTGTAGACACCGAAGAGGAAATGTGATTTGATTATGTGACTTGGGCTTCTTTGAGTCGGTTGGGGTATGCCTGTCGCTGGCATGTGTGCCCATTCTCAGAGCGCCAGAACTATAATGTAATTACTACATCAGAAGAGAAGCCGGGTAACCTGTAAAGATGAGTATGCACTGCTGCCATTACTGGCATCAGAATGTATGCCGGGTATCCCTCTGTTGATCTACTCAGTGTTACTGCATAGCACAGCCTCAGGCTTGCTTGCAAACCATTGACAATGCCAATGGTTACATGACTGACAACTGAGTCCGAGACTGTCTGTACATCACTGCTAGCTGCTCATGGCCGTGTTGGCCTAGCCCTACAATACAATGACAATGTCAATAACTATGATTGTGCATGATCAGATGAATGTAGTCGCCTACATGTAGATACCAAGAACGATACAGTAGTAAGTACTCAGTACTCAGTAGCTCTGGAGCGAGTGTGATGTAACCATGGTAAATACCGGTAACCGGAAATTCATAAAAATTAAAAATAATCATGAGGCCAAACTAAAGAAGGTGTGTGGTTCGACTCACCCGACCGACCGTATTTCAGCCCGACCGTAACTTTTTTTCGGCGGGCTGTCGTGTGACTGACGTACGTGGACTGAACACGTCCACGTCTACGTGCTGTGCGGCGTGAGTCTGCGGACGCAGGCGGCTCCTTTTGGACTTGACTTGTAGTTGTACTGCAGTGCAGTGCAGTGAGTGGTACGACTGCTGCCTTGTGCTGGTACTACATGTACAGTGTATTTACATGTACTAAAAAATATATTAAAAAAAAAAAAATCCGCCCGCCCGCCCGTAAAAAAAATGTCCATGTTAGTCGAACCACACACCTACCTTCTTTACTTTTGGACTTTAGTTTGGCCTGAAAAGTAAAAGTCGACGAGGCGCGGCCGAGAATCTAGGAAAAGTTTTGTTTGCCTACAAAAGTAACAAAGCCAAAGGCTACAGCCTACATGCACATGTGAAATACACTCTGTAGATCTACATAGAGCGAGTCGACACTCTGACATTTTGTTGTTTTCTACACGAAATAGGAGACGAACTGGCAAGATGGTAATCTGTTCTTGATGATAGTACTTGGTAGTCTGAATTTGTTACACGTAGTCCTGCTGTTCGCTTACGAAAGCGGAAATGGAGCGGAGAAGGAGCCGACAGATAAGTGACCTCGCTGTCAGCGCGCTGCGCACACTGCCACTGCACTGGCCCTAGGAGGGCAGTGGCGCTCTGACCAGTGAACAACTAACTTACTCAATACTGGTAGTAGTTCAGCGAAACAGTGGCCAGGTCGCAACCCAGTCCGTAGAAGACTACGAGGCAGGTTCAATGCACCTAGACAGGAGTTGTTGCTACGTTCCATACTTGTATTCAAGTTGTAAACAACAAACCGCCTGATGTTTAGCAACGCTGCAAACACATAATATCACGATGGACAAGGCGTAGATCGTGCCTGTGAACCGTAGATCTACGTGTATCCAGAGACACTGCACTGGAGACGTACGTCCACGCGAGCTGAAGACTGAAGTAGCTCGTCACCCAAAGGGAATCAGACGATTATATGGCGAATCATCCACTGCGTTTGTCTAGTACAATGCGTGTTGCAATGACTGCTTTGAGTCGGTGCACAGATCCATATGTCAGGCAGGTAAAGTAGATAATTATGGATGCACAATTGTGATATTGTTCACAGACTGTGTAACCTTCAATGTTGAATAAGACTGAGACTGAGCTCAAGATGCACTGACAATGTGTATCATCCTAATACCGTGATTCAGAAGGATTAAAAAAGAAAGATACGGTGTCTTTTCCCTCAAACTAGTAAAGTGTAATTTGAAAATATTTCTTCCAATTCACAACATTACTGTAGGCATGCTGGGGTGACCAACCTCATTCATCACACACTGTGACACAGCATCACTACCACAAGCTAAGCGCTCCACCCTCCCACCGCACACCCCCACACTCAGCTGCTTTTGACCTCACAAATCCGGCATAAGATTTAAAGTTGAGGAACCATATACGACCAAACAATTGTATGAAAGAATCGATCACATTTTCTAAAAGCTTGAAAACAATTGTAGGAAATAATCGATCACACGTTTTCTAAACTTTGCTTGGTGTTTCTTTGCTGGCATTGTGAAGGAGATTGTCGGGAGGCCCAGGGTGGCGGAGGGTGAAGGCAGTGGCAGGAGTGGGAATTAGAACCAACAGGCTGAAAGCTGCTGCTTACTACTCCTAAGCCCCCAGTGTCACAAGTCCCTCTCAACCCAGCTTACTGAGTGGGAGCATAGACTTGCACTGTATTGCAATGAGATAGCCTAGTTATTGTGTTCATGATCTCTGCATGGTTGAACACTGTTCCACTGTTTGATGGTCTTCAGTACAGTACATGCATACACTGATACAGCTGCTGTTGCATCCTTCCCAGTAGGAAATTTCGTGCACACCAGGGCGCCCCGGCGGGTTCTTGCCATTGGTTTTATAGTAGAGTACAACTGTACATGTCATGTGATGTAACTGACTGGCAGTATGTGCAGACCAGTTGTTGCTCTTGAGTAACCCCAGCAAGAGTTACTGCGACGTACCTCTCCCCAAGAATGCCAGCAGTCTAAAGTAGTTGAACTAGGTGTGAAGTACTTTGTAAGAGAGACACCTCTCTGGCATGTGTCTCTCTCCACTGTGACTACAGCTAAAGTTTAAGTGTACACCTGTGTGCTGCAGAGTGCCTGTAGTCCCTGTACTACTACTAGTACTGGTATACCTGCAGTGCAGTGGACTAGTCTAGGCTTCATCAGGAAGCTAGGTGGACACTCAGAATGGGTGCGGGGCAGGGGCAGAGGCGGCATAGGAAATGGGAAATGAGCAAGGAGTAGCTGGGGCAGTTTGTTTATCAGGAAGTGAGTATGGTCCCATCCTTCCACAAGTAACACTGACAGACTGGCACTATATGTAGTGCAGTGGTATTGACACCGTACTGCTGTACAGTTATGCAGTGACATGCGGTCATACTCAGGGCCCCATCAGTGAGTTCAGACTGAACAGGTCAGGTCATCACACTGTCAGTGTCAGTTGCATATAGTACATACATGTAGTATTATTATTGTATTAGTACATTCACCATGCACAAACCTGATCATGCATACCAAGGAAAGTCCCATAACCAACACAGTGCACGCTGCTGGGCTGCACTATCAGTAGGGTGGATAGTGTGGATAGTTGGAAACTGGAAATGCCAACATTACGTCACGCACGGGTGGATAGGTACCATGTACATGATACGATGGTTGTGAGGTATTAAAAACCGTTGCTTGTACAATTGCAAGTTGACCCCCCCCCCCCGGCGTGTGATTGGATCATACAGAATGCCCAATGCAACCACTTTTGTGCATTTCAGTGTTCTTTTGGTGTAAGGAACCTAAACTTTGCTGAACTTTTCAGACAGCGATGCAGAGTTCCCGTAGTCTGGGTGGGTGGGGGGGGGGGGGGTTGTCTCCTGATACTACCCAATCAAACACCATGCACGTTTTCACCTGGGATACGTAGCCTGCAGCAACTCACCGGGCTCTCCCTGTGTGTGTCCCACTCAAGTACATCATTGTCAGAAAGTGTTCACCTGGACTACAAATACGTGTGTGTACATCTCGTGTGGATAGTAAAGTTGAAGATGCATGGAGTAAAGGGTCCTGGCAATCGCTCACAGACAATACCCCCAGGATAATAAGAGAAAACAACAATTGACAATAGACACTAACATGATAGTCCTAGCTTGAAGGTCAATCTAGAGAGCCATAATGATGTCTACTGACTACGCTGTCTGTCTCTACATGACTATTCTCTCACTTGCCCACATCTAACCATTATCCTTTATTTTTCGACTTTGTTAATGAGGTTGATCTCATTTGCAGAGCTCGGAGAGTGCCCTAGCTGAAGAGATTACAGTACAGTTTGGACAACTACATTACATTGAATTGTGTGTACTGGTAGTATGTATGTGCTGACCCATGTGATTGCTTCTTCTATGGTATCGCTTTGCTTCTACAGTCACAATCCGAGGACCGCCGTTCAAGGGGTTCTTTTGCCGTGTTCAAGATAAGGGCACGTTTCGCTTGGCCAATGCTCGTGGCCACTGGGACTCTCGCTATTTACCCTATTACACGCGACTCAGCAGCTGCAATAGACCATCGGTTAGTGCTATTGTTGTGTTAGACCATCGGTTAGTGTTATTGTTGTGTTAGACCATCGGTTAGTGTTATTGTTGTGTTAGACCATCGGTTAGTACTAGTACTACAGTAAAACTCCCCTAATCCGGGCACGGCCGCCTACCGGGCACCGTCCTGACCCATAATGGGCCATTTAGTTAGAGTCACAAAGTTAACTTTCAACACGAAATGGCCCCGAAAACCATTGATCGGCATAAAGTGTTTACTTGGATGCAGTAGGTATCTTTGCTTTGAGTCATGGGCAATTCCTAGTTACAGGCAGTGCTCGGTCCCAACCTGCCCGTATTCGGGTAGCTTTACTGCACTGTGGTGCTGGACGTGTGGTTTGTACTGCACTGTCTGTACTGGAGGATCGATTAGTCCTGTTGTTGCTGCACCATCATCAATATTTTACTACTTTTTGGTGGTGAAGATTTCCTTTCTGTGTCACCTACGTCAGAAATAGCAGAGGAAGGGTATGTTGCTTCCTACCGGTATATGAGCGCTCATGCATTTCCTGACGACTTGACGTAACACTCGACTGACTCATGACCGCCATTCAGAGCACACAAGGCGGCCGGCAAACCAGAAGGGAGTGGTGCTTTGCTACGGGCTTTTGCAGTGAAAGCCGGTCTGATGGACCTGTGCTCTGAATGGCAGTCTGTTACATGCAACCCAGGCACTACACAAGACCAAGACAAACTTGTCAGATAGGGAAAAACTCAAGACTTGTTTATCACTCGTTCAGAGCAAGACAAGACAACAAAACAACAGGCATGCGCATATGCATGCAGGAAACATAAGTAATAAGATAACAACTTATGACGCGTTTGTACAACGCTTGCTCAGATATCACATCCCTCCACCATCAGATGGAAACGACCAGAATAACAGAAATACATAGACTGTGTCGTGGCAGCAAATAATCTGATAAGACGAACTACAGATCAAGGCGGACAGGAGCCTTTACAGAACGAGAAGAACTGCGCATAGACACGACAGGACTAGAACCACTAGACTGGTTAGGAGTAGATTCAGGAACAGATAAATCAGCATTCTCACGGATCTCATCATGTACAATTGAGCCAGGCAGTGACATAGACTCATTCGGCGGAACACTAGGTAGAGCAGTTGAAGACGGTAGAGCTGTGGTAGAAGGTAAAGCTCTGGAATATGGAAGCTGTGGTGCTGACGTAGCAGTTGAAGCATCTTGCACCGACTCAGCAGGAAGGCGTTTCTTCAGGTGGTCAGAGTGACGCTTCCAGACTCTGTTATCAACAAGACGAACCGTGAATGTTAGAGGACCAAGCTGTTCTTCCACGGTGCCAGCTATCCACTTCGGTGAGGAGTTGAAATTCATTGCCCAGACGGCATCACCACAATAGAACTGGTATGCATTTGCACCACCACGATCATGGGCAGTGCACTGTTTGTCCAAGACTTTCTTGCCGCTGTCCGGGAACACGAGATCCAGACGTGAGCGGGGACGATGTTCCTTCCAAAGTAGCTCAAACGGAGAACGACCTGTTGTTGACTGCGGCGTCATTCTGTATTGGAACAGGAACCTGGCAAGGCGGGTTTCCAAATCAGGGCCAGACATCTTGGCCAAGCCAGACTTCACCGTCTGTACTGCGCGCTCGGCTAAGCCATTACTAGACGGATGATATGGTGAAACGAGAGTGTGACGTATGCCATTAGATGAGCAAAACTCACGAAATTCACTACTTGCAAAAGCAGGGCCATTGTCAGAAACAATATTATAAGGTAAGCCAAGCAGAGCAAAGGTCTGCTCCAGCTTGCGAATTGCGACAGCAGCAGATGAGCCAGAGCAAACATGTGCTTCAATAAATTTACTATGACTATCGACAATAATGAAGAGCATCTTACCAGCGATGGGTCCAGCAAAGTCGACATGGACACGTAACCAAGGCTTACCAGGCCATTCCCATGGGTGGACTTGCTGGCGATGCGGCGACTTGGTGACGGTCTGGCACTGCGTGCAACCACGGACGGTCTGTTCGATTTCTGCATCGAGAGACGGCCACCAGACATAGCTGCGTGCCAGGGCTTTCATTCTAGCGATACCGGGATGACCGGCGTGCAACTCGTCCAGCAATGGTGCACGACCCGGTGAAGGAATAACTACCCTGGAACCAATTAGGATACAGTTATTCAAGACAGACAGCTCACTACGACGACGGGAATATGGCTCTAATCCCTCTGGAATGTCTTGGGGCCAGCCCTCAGACACGAACTTGTATACTAATGCCAGGGACGGATCTTTGCTCGTCCAGCGAGCAACCGATGCAGACGTAACCGGTGTAGTGTTCAAGACGGATAGCGATAGTACAGCCTCGGCTGGCTGCGGCGGTTCCGGTACCAGCGCCGGATTGGGGAGGCGACTCAACCCATCAGCGCAACCGTTCTGTTTCCCAGGCTTGTACTCCAGAACAAATTCATAATTGGCTAGTTTGAGTGCCCATCGCTGAATACGACCACTAGACTGAACAGGAATGGGTCTAGCAGGATCAAACAATCCCAGCAGTGGCTTATGATCTGTTTGTAGTGTAAAGTTGCGACCGAAGATGTACTTGTGGAACTTGGAGACGCCAAATACCATTGCCAAGGCCTCACGGTCAAGCTGCGAGTAATTCTTCTCACAAGACGACAGCGTTCTAGATGCAAAGGCTACTGGCCGATCAGACCCATCTGGCAGAACATGCGACAGAACTGCGCCAACACCATACGGGGAAGCGTCACAGGACACGACAATAGGTAAACTAGGATCATAATGAATACGTATCGGCTCAGAAAGCAGCAGAGACTTGCCTGTATCAAACGCTTTCTGGTGACTATCAGACCAACACCACGACTTTGATAACAATTCATACAATGGAGCTAACACTGAGCTTAGATTCTCGATGAACTTGTGGTAATAGTTTATGAGTCCCAGAAAGCTTCTCAGTTCAGGGACATTCTTGGGCTGTGGGGCCTTCACAAGGTCATCCACTTTCTCAGCCGACGGCCTAATGCCGACTGAATCAATAACATGGCCCAGGAACTCAATAGACTGCTGAGCCACGAGACACTTCTCACGATTCAACCTGAGACCCGCGGACGCTAGACGATCCAGGACCAGCCTCAGATTCTCATCATGCTCCGCACGAGTCTTTCCAGAAACAACAATGTCGTCGAGATACACTACGACAAAGGACAGACCTGCTAACAATTGTTCCATCGTGCGCTGAAATATTGCCGGGGCCGCCGACACGCCAAAGGGTAGGCGGTTGTAGACGAACAATCCTTTGGAGGTGTTGATTGTCGTCAGCAGCTTAGACTCGTCGTCGAGCAACAGTTGTTGATAAGCATGTTTCAGGTCAAGCTTGGAGAAGAATGCGCCTTGCGATAACTTCTGATACAAGTCGTCGATGTTGGGCAAGGGGTACTTGTCTACTCTTGCCGACTGGTTGATAGTACATTTATAATCGCCACAGATTCGTATGCTACCGTTCCGCTTGAGAACGGGTACGATTGGAGCTGCCCACTCCGAATACTGGACAGGACTAATGATGCCAGCTTCCTCCAGTCGACTCAGCTCTTTTTCCACTGCTGCTTGTAACGCATAAGGAACAGAGCGTGCCTTCAGGAACCGGGGTCTGGCGCTGTCTGCCACGGACAATTTGACTTTTCCATGTTTCCAGGTGCCCATGCTACGTTGGAAGAGCTGCGGGAACTCTGACAATATCGAGTGCTCGCGTGACACGTTGAACACGAAGTTCCAATTCAACCTCAGCAGTTGCAACGCGTCTCGACCCAGGAGATTTGGTCCGTTTCCTTGGACAACGACGATCGACAATTCTGCTGATTTACGAGAAGCATGGGTCGCAGAAGCACTAAAGCGACCGACGACATTCAGAATTCCGCCGGAGTAAGTACGCAGCTTCGGCAGATCACTTGTGTCGAGCGACAAATTGACCTTGGATGCCAGCCGATGAAATTCGTTTTCAGACATCACCGTCACGGCTGCACCCGTGTCGATTTCAAACACGACTGGCTGTTTACATAACTGGAGGGTACAACAGTACGGGTCCACGCGGTCCTTGTCACTCTGCGTGCGGTACAACGAATAGTACTCGTCCAGGCCGCTGCTGTACGGACTTGCAGTTGTAGGACCGGATGCAACACTCGCACCAGTACCAGCACTTGCACTATGACTTGGAGCAGGAGCAGGGTTGACTGGCGACGTTCCATGTACTTCTTGAGACTGGCCAACCATGTGTACACTGCCACCAGTGCTGGACTGCTGTGAACGGCAAACTTTGGCGAAGTGGTTTGGCTTCCTACACTTCCGGCACGACTTGCCCCAAGCTGGGCATGACTCGCGCTTCTCGTGCCACTGGTCTCCACATCCACCGCATTTACGTGACTGGCCACGCGATGGCTGCACAAATCCACCCCGTCCAGCTTGCCTGTGACTCTGGTCTCGGTGGTGCACGGCATTGACAAGCATACTACTACTCCCGGTATAACCGGTACCAGACGAAGTAGAAGTGGTTGAGGACATTCCTTCCGACTGGGACTGGGCGTCCTCCCAAATTCTGCACATTTCCAACGCTCGTGGCAGAGTCAGGGCTGGTTCTGACAGGAGCTTCTTCTTCAGCTCGCTGCTGTCGACTGTGGCTACGATCTGGTCACGTATAGCTTCCGCAGTTTGTCCTTCATTCTCGAAAGAACAAAGCCGAGCTTGCTGCCGAAGCTTGGTGCAGTACTGCACTGTGGACTCTCCCTGCCGGCGAGTGAGTTGACGGAAGACGTGCCTCTCATACGTAGGGTTTGCAGGAGCACCGAAATGAGCTTGCAAGGTACGCTTGCACTTGAGGAACTCATTGTCATTCTGCGTTCTCTGATCTGGTGGAAGGCTGTCATCTGGGTCGGATAGGTCCTCGAATAAATCCTGAACTTCTAGACCCGCGAAGTGCAAGAGCAGTGCTTTTGAACGCTTCTTGTTCGTAATGTCCTTTCCCGTCAAATAATAGTCAAAGGCTCGAACCCATTTTGTCCACCTCAGAGCCACTTGAGATGGGGGTCCGGACGTGTCGAATGGTGGAAGACGGTCACGATCTCCCTCCATCGCGCAGGACGTTGTCTTCGTCGCCAAATTGTTACATGCAACCCAGGCACTACACAAGACCAAGACAAACTTGTCAGATAGGGAAAAACTCAAGACTTGTTTATCACTCGTTCAGAGCAAGACAAGACAACAAAACAACAGGCATGCGCATATGCATGCAGGAAACATAAGTAATAAGATAACAACTTATGACGCGTTTGTACAACGCTTGCTCAGATATCACACAGTCGTTAGTCGGTCATGTGTAAAGTCAAGTCGTCAGGAGAAGTTCATGCTCGCATGCAGGTTTATACAATTTAGATGTTCCTGTTTCCTTTAGCAGAATTTAGTGTCTTTAAGCTTAGGCCAAGTAAAAAAAAAAGCTAGATGATCGTCCCCGTCCGCCCCAGTTTTTGTCAGCGCCCCAAGAAATATTTTATTTTTTAAATCGTGAGTTTTACTATATGGACCACATACTACTAGTATATCACAACGTCAGTATCGATCTGCTGAAGAAAGAAAAAGAAAAAAAGAAAAAAAAAGAAAAAAAGAGAAAAAAAACCTTGGTGTTGTTGTGTACACTGTGTGCATGAGAGGGTAAAAAGTAAAAAAATAAAAATAAAATCCTCCCGCCCTCCCCGATTTTTCCAAAAAAAAGGACGATCATCTAGTAATTTTTTTTACTCGGCCTTATGTCATGGCTTGTGAAAGTTCTCCAGTGACATAGACTGGAACTGCCTTCAATTTAGACTATGTCTTTGGGAAATCCTCAAATATATTATAATCAAAAAACACCTTCTCACTGCTGCTGCTGTGATCATTGAGTTGCTATTGTCGAAATCATTACTCCTGTCATGTGTATTGCTGCAGACTGGTGTTACGCACTCCAAGCTTCCAGGAATGTTCTCCGATGTCTCATTCAGATGGAGTGCACCGGGCAGTGACAAGGGGAAACTGCAAATCACGTGAGTATTCGCCGCCTGTTTATTCAACTGGAAATGTGGTTCGGTATGTGTACCATTTGGCATGGATCCAGTCATTTCACCTCCGTATAACTGGCACCTGAATGCGTTACATGCCAGAAGCAAATCCTATTGTTGATATATCATGCCATGCCAAGGACACACCATTGTCCCATGCCATGCCATGACGAGTTGTCAGATTGTCAGGGAGGAAATGAAGGAGGTGTTGCCGGTTACTAAGATGACCCGTCAAGGTATTGAGTACGACATTCTTATCAGTTCTGGACACTACATACAGAAATCAATAAGCACTATAGTTGGAGAGACCAAACAGTGAAGTGTAGCAAAAAGGACTGCCACAAGTTCCAGGACACATAGCTGGTTCATGTGTGTGAGTGCGTGCGTGCGTGCGGGGGCAGTGTAATTACTTTAAAGAACTGTTCACCTAGTACTCACCCATCACTCACTGCACAGGATTTCACCACAATTATTGCTGTCTGTGTGACTATGTGTGCTGGTTAGGTGTACCATTGCGCAAACGTTTGAAAGGTTCTTCGTAGGCATTCGCAGTGATGACCTCTGCTTCAACTCCGCTGTAAGTGATCATCACACCTGGCCATCTCCACCACTCATTCTCTTTGTACCAGTTGTACCAGGTGTACCAGGTGTATCAGGTGTCTCCTGTTTGCCATCACTGTGTCCTTCCATACTACCCTGTACCTTGCCTGGAGTTTGGTGCACCCCCCCCCCCCCCCTCTTCTGTCTCTCAGATCAAAATATTGAACATCCAAGATACTTTTGCTCCATTTTCGTATGCAGAGTATAGTACAGTTGACCCACGGTTTGTGACTGAAATTGTACATCCATTGTACATCTTTCTACATCCATAGTGCACTGAACTCTACTCTGGCTATTGTACTTCATTCCCATTGCCTTTTCGACCAGACGTCATTCAAGCGCCAGTAATACGGTATATTCAAGCTCCCAGAACATGCCTTGAACTAATCTAAACAGTGACACTCTCAATCACATTAGAGGCATGCAAGTTGTCACATGATCCGCTGTGTGTGTGTGAGCAAGTAATGGACTAGCTGCTATAGGAAGACAGTAATTGTTGGTAATGCAACTACATTCAAACGTTGCATACACCAATGTCAGTCAAGATGCCTATGCTCTTTCTGCCTCTCCGAGCGGGTGCTGAGTTGCTGTGAGTCACAGATGCAAGAGTACTGGAGAATGTTTATGTTTGTCGTGAGTACACACGTGTTCTGTGGCCACACTTTAACATCATATTTCTGCATGCTTTCATTCCACTCTATTCTTTTGTTTTGCAGGCCCGTCCTGCCCAGTGCAGCATGGCTAGTTCACATCCCGAAGGATCAGGATGCTCTGCGGACTCTACGTGCTCGCAGACGTGTCCCGCTGGACCGCAGGGACCTAAGGTAAGCAATGGTCATAGTATCATATCCTGTACTTGAAGCACCGCCACTTTGCTCCACTATGCTCGGGTCCTAGATGGGTGTAACCAGCCGTGAAAAGATAACACCGTCGTCTGACTCGTTTCGTTCTCCAGCAGCCCAGTCTGCCTGGCTGGGGGTCCAGGATGCCCCTGTATCACAACGGACAAGACCTCTGTACTTCAAGTTTTATCGCATGGATTGTGTAGTAGTACTGTTTGACACATTACGTGAAAGAAAAACCTGCCTTGACAAGACTGAAAATAGGACACTTTCGCAAAGACACCAGTATGTTCACAACTGGACGAGATGAGCAGCACTCATGCAAGCATGTGCACCGTGATGAGTATTGACGACACAAGCACGTCACTTACATCTGCAGTAGGGTACATCGGTTCAGTTGGGAGGGTGACGAATTAGGAATTAGCTATTATTGCAAACCTGAGTCAGACTGTGTCATGATAATACATTTATTCACTGTTTCTTTCACTGCCCCCCCCCCCCCCAACCCCGGGTTTGAGGGGAAATGCGCGGTTTAAAAAAAATCATGTGGAACTTGAAGCTTCGTACTAATCTGCCTGATTATCTAGGCTCTTATTGTCCTGTTCATCTGCTCTCTGACCCTAATTTATGTCAAGTCACCATCTCTTTGAGTGTCCCAGCTAAGGTGGGCTTGTTTGCCGATTCTACGAGTACAGTCAGACCTCGCTTATCCGGTCTTCTTTTATCCGGATACCTTGCCATCCGGAAGAAAATGGCTGGTTACAGATTTACAGCATACGTGATGCATCCAACATAACCAGTGTTCGGTTATCCGGTTCCCTCGCCTATCCGTATATTTTTGTGGAAAAGAGATGTGTGCGGTGTGTGCGAGGTGTGACTGTGCAGTGCAGCTAACTGCAGTACTACACTGTTTCTCTTTCTGTGGAAACAGTAATATGTTCTGAAGTAATGTTATGGCTCACATCAGTGGATTCTCATTCATTTCATTGTGTGTATGTGTGTGTGTGTGTGTGTGTGTGTGTGTGTGTGTGTGTGTGTGTGTGTGTGCGTGCGTGCATGTGTGTGTTTATGTGTGTGTGTTCTGCATTCAGGGTAGTGTAGGGCTACGTGGTCCGCAAGGCATAGCTGGCTCACGTGGTTCACCCGGTGTACCAGGAGCGCAGGGTATCCGTGGTATCCGGGGTCCTGGCGGCAGCACTGGTCCAGCTGGAGTGGTGAGTCATCGGCTGCTGTCATTGCCAGAACTATTGGTTTGTGATCATGTGTGTGATCGTGTGATGGTGTGATGGTGTGTGTGTGTGTGTTTGTGTGAGTACGCACGCATACACACACACACCCATTGCCGTAGCAATGATAGCGATGGCTTCCTCACGCTGAAGCTCTAAACTTGAAATCTGCAGTATGGTGCATGCCGCTTGAGGTCACCAGGATGACAGAACAGTCTGTCGCAGCCACACACGTACAGACACACATACACACACACATTGGATTGTTGGCTATCATGTGCCCCCCCCCCCTCACTTTGCTCCAGTTCTCTCCCTAAGGCTCAGGCCCAGAACCAGCTCTTGAGGGGTGATATGGCCCCAGGTCAGCTACAGGGCCGATCATTTCCCCATACTCCATATCAGTGTCATAAGAGGAGACATCTCTAGTTCTATGCAGCATATGTATGCATGATTGTCGGGTTGTTTCAACTGCACATTCCGCCAGCAACAGATATCATGATTGTGGGGTTGTTTCAACTGCACATTCCACCAGCAACAGATTCTACATGTATATACAGCTACTGTTGCGAACATTGGCATTTGTTGAGAAGTCAAGTGGCACGCTGGTCGTGCAGCCGTGAGTGCTGCTGGTCCAGTTTTTACAGTGTTAAAAAGTGTATGTACACGCTAAGCGAGTAAGGGTAACGGCCCCGATCATTCCACCGTAGTCCTCATTCAACACAAAGAACAGTTTAGGAGCCGGGAGAGACTGTAGTGAGTCCAATATGATAGCTTTTAGTACTTCCGTTATAATTACAAATTACAATCGTACACCGGACATTCTGTGAAAGCTGGCATTTCGGTAAAAACTGGCTCAGCCATGTCTACACAAGCTGTACCACTGGTGCCGGCCGTGCATCTCTCCAGTGGAAGAATCTGTGGCTGTGTGTAGGTACTGCGATAATCGTGGAAACAGCGATATTTTCATTTACATGAGGAAAATTATCTGTGCCTCCATACTTTTAAGTATCAAGCCCGGATTCCCTTCCTCTTTGCTGTGTTTAGGGTCGGCCTGGTCGCCGGGGTGAGCGTGGCTCTACTGGCCCACGTGGTATCAAGGTAAAAACATTTGATCTAGAGCCTACTTGTATGAGCGATCACATGTAGTATGGGCTCGTACTTCCGATGACTTGGATGTCTGCATGTAATACAGACAAGATGTGCGATGCACGTGTGGAATTTACCTGTGACAATGCTTTGACAATACACTTGGTGAATACGCTCGTATAACGTTATGATTAGGGATTTTCCAGCTCCAACTTGTTTTCTTGATCAACATACTGACTATTTATATGTTGGGTGTGGATGTGCGCATGCGCATGCATGTGTGTGTGTGTGTGTGTGTGTGTGTGTGTGTGTGTGTGTGTGTGTGTGTGTGTCAGGGGTTTAGGTCTGCTGGTTGATGGCACGCCTAGAAACCAAGGCGAAGTTACTCCGCCAATTTTGACATTATATACCGGTTGTCACGATTTCCTGTAATGCCTCTGTGGGCTGGTACTCTGATCATGTGGAGCCTATCTAGCCAAAACCACTTGAAATGAATTCCAAGCTACTGGTGTATGGGTGGGTGTCCCCCCACCTCCGCTCTTTCTATCTAACTATCTGTATGATCTGCCTATCTATCTGCTGATACAGGGTGAAGTCGGGCAGAGAGGAGACTCGGGCAGAAAAGGTGCATCCGGAACACCTGGTTTCAATGGACGTCCAGGTCCACAAGGCCCCCCTGGTCCTCCCGGTGCTCCTGGAGTGGGTGGGTCATCCTTGATACAACCTCAAGTTCAGCGACTCAGGGTGAGCAGTGAATAAACAACCAGCAGGATTTTTCAATTATTAGACACCCTTAGCAAACAACGGTAACACTATTTTTTACTGTACTCGTACCTTGATCACCCAGATAGCGTTGGAATAAAATTACAAAAACACCGTGAATATGATCCAGTTCCATTTCATTTGTCACCGTTCCAACAAGATGCCGTTGCTCCACCCGTGCAAGAAGGTTCTTCTTCCCTAGTCCATCTGGAGACAGTCTAGAGAATCTGATATCAGTGTGTGCTACATACACACTAGGGATATCAGCAGGTGTGCTCATACATAATTTATTGTAAAACATGTAATTTTAGGTGCATTAAAATTTCGGTGCCAGAGACCTGCCAGGTTTCAGGTGTAATGTAGAATTAGGTGACCAGCATTCTGTTCACATACAGTGCATACTCTAGTGCCTTTTAGGTGTAATTTAAATTTAGGTGCCTGGTTTCTCTACCGAAATCACCGAAATTAAAGTTACACCGAAAATTACATGTTTTACAGTACACACTTATGGGCTTATCACTTGAGCAGCTGATAAATAATATTTTGCACTTGCCTTGTTTTCTGCAAACAGGAGACGAGCAGCCGCCCAGGCCCGCCAGGTCCCCCAGGCATCAAGGGTCAAAGTGGACGTCAAGGCCGCCCAGGACCACAGGGCCCGCCAGGTCCCGCCGGGCCAACGGGGATCCGTGGCCTATCCGGGTTCTCTGGTATTGATGGTGCTGCAGGTCCTGTTGGATCCAAGGGTGATCAAGGCCAGAAGGGTGAAAGGGGTCGTCGGGGACCTCCAGGCACTGTTTCAGTGGGTTCGGCCTCGGCCGACGCTGAGGAGATGACAGCAATGAAGACGGAGCTAGCCACACTGGAGTCAACTGTGGCTGCTTTGAAGGCAGAATTGAACTCGAGAGTGCCGTTCACGCGCTCCCCTCTCTATGTCATGCTGCTGTCGCGTATGTCTCAGATCTACAACGAGCTATTCCAAGTCAAGCGCACTATGAGCACTGTTCAGCGGCAAATGAACGATCAGACCCCTCAGTAGAGCAAACCCCTCAGTAGAGCAAACCCCTCAGTAGAGCAGACCCCTCAGTAGAGCAAACCCCTCAGTAGAGCAGACCCGTCAGTAGAGCAGACCCGTCAGTAGAGCAGACCCCTCAGTAGAGCAAACCCCTCAGTAGAGCAAACCCCTCAGTAGAGCAGACCCGTCAGTAGAGTAGTTACTGAGTATGCCAACTGCTCTGCACAAGTACAAGGGCCTGCTTCTGAGCTTGTGGCCAGGGAGAACCAAAAACAGTTTTTTAGTACACCCTGGCTTTTTAGTACTCCCTGCTCGCAACCATGTGGTTGTGCACTTAACTTTGCCATCAGCCCAACCATCACTCGATCAGAGTATTGTTACTGTACTTCATCAAAGTATTTCATGCTATGTGGACATACTGCCTCCTGTTGGCAAGGCTCCCAAGATGTAAACACTTCATTACACTTTTATAAGCTCTGATTTTATCACCCCACCGGTGTGCCTGTGCTATATCTGATGTCCAATATGTTATCACTGATACACTTGAGTATAACTGTCCATAGCCATCATTAAAACACCGTCAACGCAAACATTTAATCTCCTTTGTTTGGAACCTTTCCCCAGCAGCTTGCACGCAGCGACGGCTGTGAGCGAGAGAACCGGTTCTTAAATTATACCATCTAGGCACCTGGAAATGACACTTGTACTTGTAGTACATGTATCAGCTAAGTCAAGCTCTCTCTCTCTCTCTCTCTCTCCCTCCCTCCCTCCCTCCCTCTCTCTCTCTCTCCCTCCCTCCCTCCCTCCCTCCCTCCCTCTCCCTCTCCCTCTCCCTCTCTCTCTCTCTCTCTCTCTCTCTCTCTCTCTCTCAGCAGATTCAGATACCAATCTAAAAGTCTGATAGCTTCATAATTAATTCTATGAGGGACTCTCTCTCTCTCTCTCCCCTCTCCCCCCCCCCCCCTCTCTCTCTCCTCTCTCTCTCTCTCTCTCCCTCCCCCTCTCCCCCCCCCCCCCTCTCTCTCTCTCTCTCTCTCTCTCTCTCTCTCTCTCTCTCTCTCTCTCTCTCTCTCTCTCTCTCTCTCTCTCTCTCTCTCTCTCTCTCTCTCTCTCTCTCTCTCTCTCTCTCCATTGTTCCCTGCCCGCTGCCATTGAAGCTCGACCGTTCAGAAATATACGAGACCAATATCAAAAGAGATAATTACTATCTTGTGATGTACGTCTCATAATAATAAATGAACAACTACAAGTACAAAAGTAGTACCGACACTGGTCCATTCTTTGAAATGAATAGTAATCATCATCACTCACTGAGACACTAAGTTATCTCCGGTCCTGATAGGATTTGTTGACCTCAAATGTGTGTGTGTGTGTGTATACATGTACTGAACACGATGGTCCCGTGCACATTGAAGTGTTCATTCCATCCTCAGGTCATGCATAGTGATCGGATGAATAATGCTACCTTGGGTGCTTAAACACTGCTCCTACATCCAGTGCATGGTTTGGGGCTTTGGCAGGAACTCATCTTCCTTCACCTGTCATGTATAAGAGTGCATTTCTGCATGGCTTACATGACTGTCTACACAACACTCTACAGTCATGCTCTGGTCTATTTTACTGCACTTGATATTCTACTGGGTTATGTACGGTGGCAAATTTCATTGAGCACAATACACATACTAGTACCCGTAGTATAAGTACCGGTACATTCATATGGTTGAAAGCATTCACTTTTGTTCAACATACTTCGGGCACCTTTCACAATCAAAGTTCTATACTTATAGCCATGGCAAGAGGAAATAAGCACCGAAGAGTACGAACTTCTGCATGGGTTTGCTATAATCATGGCGTCCGCTGGCGGCAACAATTCACATCATGTGGCGTAGTTTTTTTATTTATTACGTTCAACGCCCCCAGCCTGTTCTTAGCGAACAGTGGAGTGCTAACAAGTAACAGAAGCAAACCCTGGAAGAAAACCACTCCCCGTATGCGAGTCATGAATATGATCATGGCAGATGTCCAAACTGCGCATGCGCAAACGCTTGGCCCCGTTGTACGTAGTACAAAACGCAATCGCAATAGGCAACGTGGATTTGGCCATCAGAGACGTACGCTATTTGCAGAGTTCCACACTCTTAGGAGCTTATTTACTCTTGATCAAAGTCATAGCCCAGAAACACAAATCTCTAAAATCTACAAAAACACCATTACAGTAACATTCAGAAATAATTGAGCTCTCCGCTTTTTCAAAATCCGATTCAGACTGAATGTATGCTCAAATCCTCTTTTTTTAGGACTAAAACGACACATTGGGTATTGGATAGCTAAGTGTACACACTGGGTCATGTCAAACCTGGCCAAATTGAACACAGCCTGGCTGAGATTCTAACTATATTTTGTATAGTATGTGTCTACTCCACAGTGTCAAGAACTTGCAAGAATCAATCCAAGCCCATTCCTAGATGACCTGTGCAAACTCATTGGAATACAATGTATCCTCGGACCATTTCCAGTTGACAGCGAAAATATAGAAACTCGACTATGTGAAGCTCATCCACCGTCCGTAGAGGGCTCAATTTGCCGAAAGCAAAGAGCGGAATACACAGACCTGCGTAGAAACTCGACTATAACTGAATGAACTGTAGGATCTTATCTCAATCAATACAGACGCACAAGAGTACTGTACATGCAGTCAGATTCTAAACCTGCACTCGAAGCCTGCATGTACTGCATGCAAGCACTCTGTGCCTGTACACAGACAGAAGCAATGCTATCTGTGGACGAGGAAGGCATGGCAATAGAAACAGAAGGCCCGTACAAGCAGTACGTATAGCAATTGCATGCCATCAAATACACAACCAGCACTAGAAACTGGTTCGATGAAACAGCCGCCGTGTATAACTAGAGATGGGGGAATCCCCGGCACACGGCAAAAGAGGTTGCCACTGTCCATGATCCAGCTGCAGTGTTGGTAGCACCATGAGATAGGTCGGACATGGTAGCACAATACAATCTCAATCCATCCAGTAGGAAATGGAATGGCCGTGCATGTTCATTTGACTAATTGTCAACTATTGACAGCACGAATGACTATCCCGGAATGACAGGTTGCATGAGCAGTGTGCGCCATACGAGCACAGAAACAACTGCCGGGATCCGGGAAGGCATTCATAAATACTGTCGTGAATCAGTGTGGATCAGGGGCGCATTTCCACGACAACACGCACAATGTTGGTAGTCACAAAGGCCACTGCTGACGGTCATCAGTGTGCACATGTACGCGTGGATAGAGTGCTACTCCATCATCCAGTAACACATAGGAATGTGCGGCCACCGGTCACTAGAATCTCGAACTCCAGTCCCTGTAGGTAGATGCGGCCTGTAATGCCGGCCATAACTGGCATGTCTTGAGTACTGATCCTAGAACACCATAGCCATACCTACTTCTCTTCGTCTTTGTTCGCTATCGTTGCAGCATCACGGTGAACTATGGATGACTTGTCCGTCGGCAAGTCCAGATGTTTCAGCTCACCCTTCTCCAGTACGCTGACCTCTAGCTCCTCCACATCGAAGCCACGTTTCTGCAGCGTCTCCTGCGCATCACAAGTCAACACGGCAGTAGAGAACACCAGTATAGTTATAGAACATTACCCTGTACAGACCTGTACATACGCAAAGGAACATGTGACAACCTCACCACAGCTACACACACAACTACATACACGCAGAGTCCATAAAAACTGGCCGAATGTCAGACTCCTTATCCTTGGACTTTTCACCCTCAAATGCACTGTTGGCACATAAGCCTGGTTTTAGTGTTGAAATACATAGAAATACATGGTTTGAATAGAAGCCTGATGCGAATAGAAGCCTAGCGCCGACATCGGCTTCTACAGGAATAAAGTAAAAAAGTAAAGTTTGCACGTCCGCGTTACCACCGGCTATACAATTGCGTTGAGAAACACAACCAGCTTAGGAAGTTTCGCATGTGCCAGGCCACCACAATGCCTGTACAGGAATAAGGCCGGCTTTAATACATGACGTTACGGTATCTAGTACCATAACCAGTTATGTGCACTTCGATCTTGCTAGTACCCTGACAATTTTATGTCAATACACACATGCATTTCTTTTTCCATTTGCTGCCACAGTTTTCCCTGAGTTGAAAACGTTGCAGTATTAGAAAACTCTGCCTTCTGAATACAAAAATGTTTTACTTTATAACGTGCAAAAACAAATTCTCTCACCACAGGGAACATGGGCATCACATAACAACTTGGGAAGGGCATGAATTCCGTACTCAAATACATTCATACAACGTATTCCTAGATCTTACCGTCAGGCATTCTCGATAAGTCTTGAAAAGCTCTTGACAATTGTCAGACGTGGAATTACCATGCAGAAATTTCTCTCCGTACCAGCTGTTGAAACATTGGTCATACTGTTCCTTCATTGGACTGCATCGTTCGTCTATGCTATCCATCTCAACAAAAAGTCACTACCATACAAAATTCTATCTCAAGGACTTGCTCAAGCACTGATTATGAACACGAACTGTTGTCCAGTTTGTGTTCATGTACATTATGTTACGTTGAGCGAGAAGGAAGTGGCCTTTGAAAACGAAGAAAACACGATCACGCTTTTTTCGTTGCAAAAAAAACAGGCCGCGGGAAATGATTATGATGCATGCATGACGTATCATCATGCTCTCGTACAGATTTTTGTGGATCTGTTCAAAGCAAACTTTTTACTTGAAGAAAACTTCTTTTCTCCATTGACATTGTGGAACCATGAACCTAATGAAAAGGCATGATTTGGTTGTGAATGTCGGGTATTTGCTTTTTGGAGTACTAAAGTGTAGGCATATTTCAGAGCACTGTGACCTGTCGTTCCTCCTCGTGTAGACCAGTGTGGCGACTAGTGATATTGCGTACACGTGTTGTCTGCTGATATCAAATTTAGTATGGGTCGATTATGCAGCAACTGTCACACTTCCACCAACTTTGAAGACAATGGAGTCGACGGACGACTGGTAAGATATTTAGCCAACTCACCGTCTCCTCAAGGGCACCAGGCGGCGTGCTTAGCAGCTGTATACCCTTTGCTTAAAGAACGTTTCCTACAATGGTTCGAATGATTAAAAATGTTCCACTGTATTTGAAAATTGTGTACTTGGAAGCTGAATCACTGGGTTGGTCCCTTCGAGGTCTAGAGAGTGAGTGTTCTCTCTCCGGAGTTGGTATGCATAAGACCACCATGTAAAATGGTTATCCTGTGCGAAAGTGATGCACTCTAATTCATTCAATGCTGTGTATAAATTGTAGTACTACCAAGTACCATTGTACAGGTCCATTTCAAAACTATAGTCTAGACGCGTAGGGTTTTTGAAATATTTCAAATTTGGCTGGAACTTTTTGAGAATAGTTTTCGGAATATTGCTCAGGATCGCTCCACAATTACTCTCATAATTATAGTTTCTAAACGATTGGATAACAGACGCCCGATTTGGAAAAATTTATGCACAAAGTGATCACAGATTCTTTATGTGGTATAGATGCTGGCATAACGGTTTTTGCCTAGGTACGCGTCTATAGTTTTGAAATGGACTGTAGTATCTTGTAACATTTGTCTGTTGCGTATGATCTGCAATAGTGACGGTATTGTGCACATCAGGGAGTCGTAGCATAAAGAGACGACGTGGGCAGGTTAAACGTGAAGCAGTGTGGGTTTTGCTCCCAGGCTGTCCGTTCCAATTCCCGTTGGGCGTGTCTGATTTATGCAGTCCATTGCGAACCGCGTGCAGTCACGAATTTTTACATGCACTATAGTATTATACATCAGGCCTAAGTCACCTTGGTCACAGTTTGCTAGAAACAATTTAATATCAGCATCGATGGCGATTTGCCAACGTTGATGCTGCAGAGCTTCCCACCAGTTTTGGGTTCTCGTGGAAAAGGAGTTGAGTTGGCGACAGGCACCGAATACCGATGGCCCTCCGCTGTGCTATCTTGATTACTAGTAATCCCTGCCATGTATGCATAGTTACCACTCTCCTGAGCGGTAGCTCAACTATGAACAGTCAGGAGGATGTAGTATTATTATTTTGATTGCCAAGAATACTAATATATAGGCACAATCAGCAACGTGTGCATGTGTATGCATGGCTGTGATGAGTATTATACTTAGGGAATTGTATGTCGCTCCCTACGTGGGAGCTCGTGCTTTTCCTGCCGACTTGAGTCTCACTCGATTGACGCACAACCGACATTCAGAGCACACGAGAAGTCCATCGAACCTTCCACTCGGCAAACCTGCAAGAAAGCACCACTTTCTGCTCAAAGCGTGAGCGCCCACATAGGGAGCGACACACAATTCCCTAAGTATCGCCAAAGTCGCACCAACCTCTTCTTCACAGAGTATTGTACGAGATGACTGATCACAGTGATCAAGTGGTAGTAGCTGGTTGTTAAACGAGTAGATGAGCAGGGAGATCTGTTAAATAAGATGCCTGGTGGCCGAGTGCATGAGTCCCCGCTGGGCAATGTAAAGCTGGAGAGATTCAGTTCGAACACAACAGGCTGTTAAATTTTTTAAAAGAGTCTGTTATAGGAGGTACATGTGCGTCATGGATTTGTATCCTATAGTACTTTGAAAACATGTAGTAGTGAGATCGTATAGGGTAGTGCCACACTATAGATTACTTTGAAGAAGACTGGCATGCTATAAGCATTTCCACCAAAGGCAAAATACATGTAGATTTGCTGTTCTTGTTGTGGTTGCTGCCAGAGCCACATCTTGTGATATTACTACTGCTGCTGCTCCCGTTGATTTTGTTAGCACTGCTTTTGGTGTTTTCATCCCATAAGGTATGCCTGGAGTGTGGTACCATCGTCGATGGAGTGGAGTTTTCATCTGCCACCGTACCGAGCAGTGCCGAGGCAATGTCACAGCAATGGTGTGGTCATAGCGAGGGTCAAACTGCCGCTGGTCATATGGCCATGTTATCCGGACTGACAACTGTCTCTGGACATCAGGTCAAGCGCAATGTACCGCAAAAAGAACGCACGGATAAACGAGTAAGTATCATTTTGTCTGTGTGTAGTGGTTCTACTGTTATTTGCTGCGTATGTCTACATGCACACAGTGTTCTGTATTTCTTGCTGTATTCTCTCTGATTAAGTCATGCACAATTTTGTCTATATTGGCGTGTTTGATGTGCTGAAAGGAGGCAATCCTGGTCAGATTGTCGGGAAAGAAAGAAAGAGAGAGAGAGAGAGAGAGAGAGAGAAAGAGAGAGGGAGAGAGAGAGAGAGAGGGGAGAGAGAGAGAGAGAGAGAGAGAGAGAGAGAGAGAGAGAGAGAGAGAGAGAGAGAGAGAGAGAGAGAGAGAGAGAGAGAGAGAGAGAGAGAGTCCCTAATAGAATTAATTATGAAGCTATCAGACTTTTAGATTGGTATCTGAATCTGCTCTTTTGACATGTATGTGTGTATGTTATGTTTATGCATGCATGTGTGCATGGGTACGTGTGAATGCACATGCACGTGATTGTGTGTGTGTGCGTGTACGTCTTTCTCTGTCCTATTATGCTACAGTATGCCGCAATGTGTCGTACAATCGGTGGTAATTTAGGTTTATCAGGTAGTCTCATTAAAGAGGTAAGCCAGGAATGTGTGCTTGCTTCACCTCTCCTGCAGTGCTGTTCACACATATAGGCCATTTAGACGTATCAAAGTATTAATGAGACTCTACACTTCCACCACCATTTCATGAGAAGGCCGAACAGTGCTGCTCCCCCCCCCCCCCCCCCCCCCTCTATATTTGTATATCAAATTCGGTTTTGATATTTTCTGAAAAATTCTTCAGAGCGTTGCCCAGTAAAAGAAGTAGTGTTGATGTTACCAAGAATACATAACCCCCGTTATGTACTCTTGATGTTACTGTTACTGCTGCTACTCATCAGCTACGGGTGTTAACTGCTATCTGGTACTGTTGATGTTACCAGAGGCTAAGAGCATGGCAGCGTAGGAAGTGACTCCTAAATCTCCCAATTCTATGGCTTTCACTCTTGGCATACAGTCTGCTCGCGTTATGTCACACGTTGTTATGGCACGCACTCGTGATAGGTCGTACATGTTTGTAAATGGAACAGGATGTCCACAGTCCTGTGTGTATGACTGTGTACTACTAATTTTCAGTATCTGCTAATAGTTACACACTCTTGATAGTATTCACACCGGAATGTTGCCAGGAGTGACTTGTGCATGACTTAGTGAGAGCAGAGTATATTAGTCTCTGTGCTGCTATTCAGTAGGCTTTGATTCAGCTTTCCTATGTCTCTCTTCTGTCAACTGTTTTCCACCTTTACAGGCAAAAGATCTTTTGCTCAGTTTCCGTCAAACTCCTGGATTCATGAAGTCGATGAAGCAGGTGCTTCCCGCGTATGTTTTGATCGTATGTGATTTTGTTTGTCAGCTGCCGAAAAAGGCTGTCGTGCCAGTGCTGTTGAACGCTTCTAGTGTTTGGATGTTTGTTCTTTCTGTTGTAGCTACATGTTTAGTGGTACCAGGTGAAGTCCAACCCCTGGCACAATGCACGCGCTTGCATTGTCTTGTGGAACTGTGGCCTTGTGAAAAGTGTGTGCACACGTTGTGGCCCTCTCGTAAAAATCAGTGCATTTTTCGAATATTTTTCTAATCTTTGAGACTATTGAATCCAGATCAGAAGAGTTTCTTTTGCTCTCTGGATTGAAATGCAACAGACTTCAATCGCAGCACACAGTCAAGATCCAGCACATGGCACTCACCATTAATTACTTTAAAAGTAAAAGAGTAAACCTAAGCTAACCAAACCACCACAAACTGAACAGCACTCAACTATAAGAATGAGGTGACATAAAAATGTGTTGATTCCCAGTTTCGTAGGCACTTCCTGTGGGAGTTAAAGCACATCCAGGGGTGCATCAAAGACAAACTGTTTGCAAGAAAACGCGGATGTTGAGCCAATAATGAATGTAAAAAG